GATAAGATATTCTAAAAAATAGAAATCTTATTATCAATTTTAAGGTATTTAATTTCGATTAATTAAATATGGTTATATTATTATAAAAATTTTATGATATTATTTTAAAAATCTAATTCAAAAACATTTTCGTTTTTTTTTACATTCGTGCTTCTATAATTGTTCGAAGCAAAGCGTAGGACTTAAAGGAAGATAACAAGCATCATTTCTGCATTTTTTTATTTATAAATTTAAAAATAAAATTTTCAAATATGCATGCATATACAAACGGATATTTGGAATATAAAATTTTGCAAATCGATCTTGTCTCTTATACTTTTGATTTAATAGAAATACTGTATATTTAAAAAATACTTGAATTGATAATTTAAATTATAAATAATTTTTATAAATAATTTAATTACACAAAAACTTTTTTAATAGAAAAGTATATTTGAGTTACAGCATATTTCTGCTTCCCTCTTTAAGAACTCATCTTTATATTTACACTTTAACTCAATTTACTTTATTTTATATAGCGTAATTGAAAATTAACGAATTTGGATGTAGTCATGTGATTTAGAAAGATGTACAAATCTAATCGTTATCGAAAAAAAAAAAAAATTTCGGATGAATTCCTTTAATCATTTGATTTAGGGAAAATGATACGTGTTCATTCGTTTTTAAAAACCCATAACCAATTACTTTTATTTAATAAAGCTGAAAACATAACAAACATAAGCAGTTTTCGGAAATTACGAAAAAATTGTATTAAATGGTTTGCCAGCGCGACAGACGTACCTTCCAAAACTATTACAAATGTAGAACCAGCCGACTTGGTAGCTTTCAAATTTTCTTACGCGTATTATATAGCGATACCTTAAGTACTCGCAAATTGACGCTTTTTTGAAACTCAAATTACAATTCTGTTCATAGCTTCGTCTTCAACGGCTTCGTAACATTGGGATCAGCGCTCACATTGATTCAGGAAAAACTACACTCACTGAAAGAATTCTCTATTATACCGGAAGAATAAAGTCGGTATGATACTATTGATAACATTATGATTCGAATTTTTGAAAGCTTTTCTTGAATTTAATTTCCAATCGATTAGATCAATTCACGAAGTTCGAGGTAAAGATGGAGAAGGGGCCAAAATGGATAGTATGGAACTAGAACGCGAGCGCGGGATTACCATTCAGTCCGCAGCTACGTATTGCAATTGGAATTGGGAAGGTCATGGTGATTACAACATCAATATTATTGATACGCCGGGTGAGTTATATATAAAATATAAGAATATTTTTAAGTGTATGCGTCCTTGTTCTCTAATTATCGAGTATGACTTTTGAAAAGGTCACGTGGATTTCACCATAGAAGTGGAACGCGCTCTTAGGGTTCTTGACGGTGCTGTTCTAGTACTTTGTGGTGTTTCAGGTGTTCAGGTATGATGTTCATTAAATTTTGGGAGATGAAATGCGTACATTGTTTCTTTTTTCTTTGTTTCACATCGTATACCGTTTCAGAGTCAAACTATTACCGTGGATCGTCAAATGCGTCGTTACAACGTTCCTCGTATATCGTTCATAAACAAGTTAGATCGGTAGGTTTAACGCGCAAATAAAAATGTTGCTGCCTGCAATTAATTGAATATTCTATATAATTAGTGTGGGCGCGAACCCTTTCACAATCGTTGAGCAGATCAGACAAAAATTAAGAATCACGGCAGCGGCCATACAAATTCCTATTGGCCTCGAAGATAATCTTAAGGGCATTGTTGATCTGATCAAATGGAAGGCCGTATATAATGAAGGCGGTAGAGGGTAATAATGAAGATCTTTGTTATATTCGAGAATTACTACATTTTAACTAGAACTCGTGCTATAGTGAAAAAGTGATCGAAAAAGAAATTCCTGAGGATCTTATTGAGTTGGCTTTGGAAAAAAGACAAGAATTAGTTGAAAATTTGGCTGATGTGGATGATCAGATAGCGGAAATATTTTTGATGGAAGAGAAGCCCACTTCCGAACAATTGATGGTGCGTCAGTACAAGTTTTTAGTTAACGATTCCTTTATATTGCAATTAGTGCATCAAACTAATTTTCAGCGAAATTATAATGATGATGAGGTTTAGGATGCTGTTCGACGTGCAACCATCGCGAACAAGTTCACACCAGTCCTCATGGGTTCTGCTTTTAAAAATACAGGAGTCCAGAGAGTTCTTGACGCAGTTTGCGCGTTTTTACCCAATCCTGCAGAAGTACATAATACAGCGCTCGATATAAGTCGTAAAGAGGCCAAAGTCGACCTTATTCCCTATTCGAAAAACCCCTTCGTCGGTTTAGCGTTCAAATTGGAAGACGGAAAATATGGACAGTTAACATACGTCAGAGTTTATCAGGGTTTACTTAAAAAAGGTTCTTTTATAACTAACTCAAAGACCTCGAAGAAAGTTAAAGTTCCGAGACTCGTTAGAATGCATTCCAATGAAATGGAGGTAACAAAGCTACTTTCCCATTGTAGACAAAACAGTAGATGAGTGTTTAATTTCCTTTTTGAAATTAGGATGTCGAAGAAGTTGGTGCAGGAGAAATTTGTGCCATGTTTGGTGTCGATTGTTCATCCGGAGACACGTTCACCGATGGGACTTTGCATTACACATTGGTATACATCATGTCATCTCATTAATGTAATGAAATACCATGCAACTAAGAGCAATGATTTTTTTTTTCATTATTTCCAAGACTTCTATGTTTATCCCTGATCCCGTGATATCTTTATCCATCACTCCGAAAGTGAAAGATTCTGCGAATTTTTCAAAGGCCCTAAACCGTTTTCAAAGAGAAGATCCCACGTTCCGAGCTTCATATGACACGGAAAGTAAAGAAACAATTATATCCGGAATGGGAGAATTGCATTTGGACATTTATGTTGAACGTATGAGAAGAGAGTACAACGTTGATTGTGTTACTGGGAAGCCACAAGTTGCTTTCCGAGAAACAGTAACGTCAATGGCAAAATTTGATTATACGCATAAGAAGCAAACAGGTGGTGCAGGACAATATGGTAAAGTTATCGGATATATTGAACCATTACAAGAGCTAAATGACGAAGACGAAGAACAACTACCAGCTTTTGAGAGTCGAGTTGTGGGAGGGCATATTCCATCCAACTTCATTCCAGCTGTCGAAAAGGTAATTTAATCAAGAAAAAAACTTTGAGCAATTGAGGATATACTAAGCATGTTGCTTATAACTTTAATAGGGGTTTCTGGATGGATTGGAAAAGGGTTCATTAATCGGTCACCCGGTGAAGAATGTTAGATTTGTTCTGGAGGATGGTGCACACCATGCAGTGGATTCCTCTGAACTCGCATTTCGTCTGGCTGCGTTATATGCATTTAGGGAAGCATTTCTGAAGGCGAAACCTGTGATATTAGAACCCATAATGGATGTATCCATCACTGCGCCACTTGAATTCCAGGGCACGGTAATAGGTAATTTGAATAAACGAAAAGGTACCATTATTGATACCGAAGTTCAGGAGGATTACTTTGTTGTGAACGCTGAAGTTTCCTTGAATAGCATGTTTGGTTATTCATCAGACTTAAGAAGTGCCACACAGGTAAACTGTTTACTTATTATTCAAAGTGATTACAGTTTTTTTTATTAACAATTTCTGGGGGATATTGTTCTCATGAATATAGGGTAAAGGGGAGTTCTCTATGGAGTACAAGGACCACCGACCGGTATCGCCAAATGTTCAAGAAGAATTAATCAATGAATACAAGAAGAGAAAGGCAGCAGAGAAAAAATGAACTTGATCTAGGAAGAATAAAAATTTAATTGTATTCATATTGAATAAAATTATTGTCATTGACTTTCCAGGAGACAAAATCTATTTGTTTCCCGTATTTTTTAAGAACTCGCTTTTCTTACCATAAACAGAAACTAACAATTCAAAGCTCTATTCTGTATTGACATGGATTCAAAAATAGCTAATCTTTTTTAACGTGATAACATCAGTGATGCTCGGAGATGGATTGAATCAGGTAAGAGCGTAAGAAAATCGATAGAGAAAGGTGAGACACAGGTTCAGATCACTGAAATTGTCCGCCTGGTTTTCAGCGGAAGTCAATCTTACAGTATAATCGCATTAGTCGAAGTATGAATCGAAATAATTGATACAATGAAAATTTCATAAACGCACGATCTTAGACACAGTGACGATGATCATACTGTAAATAAGCGAATTTGTACTGTTTAGATTCGGGTGTAACGGTCGGTTTTATTACGAGCGAACAATTCCAAACTACTCATAGTTAGCATTATATTTAACCCAGCCTGCACGGCTTATAATAATTCTAATATACGCCGAAACAGATGAAAAATACTTAGCCATTAATAAGCCTTGATTTATTGATCACGTGAGTCTAATCACGTTTTAATATAGTGATACAATGATCAATGATACAATTCTCATAGTATCCAATCAATCAATATAAACGTCGAATCTGCTTAGACAACACTTTAGTTGTGCTACTTGGGCGTATTATAAATAAGCATAAAGTGGTCATCCCTTAGAAAAAAATTTTCCCTTTAAAACGACAAAAAAAAAAACTTGTGAAATCTTCCTGAAAGTTAACTCTTAACCCTCTGAAGTGTTAATCCAACGTTTTCGTTGTTTTTTTATTTCAGAAATAGGGTCAAGATTTTATGATATCGTGAAACTACCTAAAAATGAAAATATCTTAACAAAAGGACTAAAGCGTTTTAGATTTAGACATTCAAGCTTTGTAAAAAGTGTTGATAATAAGTGTACAGAAATAGTTTTTATAACCAAGTTCGAAATTTCAGTGTAAATAATAAAATAATTAACTTGCCGTTTCATTAAAGTGGTTCAGGCTTCAATCTTTTATTGTCAAAGGTAAGTTACTTGTCGCGAAATTTTTTCCTTCGAAACTTCAGCAATGTCCATAGGTCATTTTAATGTTTATCTGGCAACTTTATTCAAATATATTTTTAACGTGACACTAATTCATTATTAAACACTTGCAGTCAATATTCACAGTTAATTCTTAATGGAAAATAGTGAAATGAGTAATTATGTAAATCTGCCATTTGGTGGAGAAATTGACGAACATATGGTAATGTCAGGAGAAATGGACATGTCCATGACACATTATATAAATGAAACCGAAAGGCATGAAGGACAATCACTCGGAGGTTTAGGTGATGATAACACGATAGAAAACGGGAATGGGTTTGCGGTTGAAGCATTGAATTATATACATTTTGATGACTTTGTTCATGCTCCTGATGCTATGTCTGATGGTCAGCAAATGATATGGAATATCGGCGCAGCTTCAGACAATCAAATGGCTGCTGAAGGATGGGATCCATCCTCCCTTGCAATTCATGATTCTGTGCAAACAACTCAAGAAAACAATTCTCAAACTATGTTGATGAATCCTGATGCAGCTACACAATTTCTTATCGATCCCGCTCTTGTGGCACAGCATCAACCGCAACCCCCAGCGCAAACCCAACCACCGCAGCAAGGTCATTCTTACGGGACACGGTTTGCAAATCAAATGCGTCCAACGCCCGGGATTCAACCTCGAACGAGAAAACAGAGACCTAAAAAGGGTCGAGGAGAGGCTGATGACGGGCCTTACTGTATATGTCGTGGTCCAACTTATGGAGTCATGGTTGAATGTGATTCGTGCAATGAGTGGCAAGTTTCAATTTCACTACTAATCGTAGAGAATAAATTATCCTTTTGTAAATTTCTGGCCCAATCTACAAAAAAAACTATTATGCGTGAAACCAGTGCAAGTTTCTCATTTATATTGAATATTTGAATTGGGTTCTTAATATGTATATATATATATATAGGTTTCATTGTGATTGTGTGAATATCACGCCGCAGCAGGCGCAAGAAGTGGACACGTACCATTGTCCTAAATGTCAAGTAGAAAGTCCTGCGCTCATTGGTTTAATCAAAGGTGTGTTTCGCTTGCTTGCATCACAGAGTTGAGCTTTCTTTTTCTCTTTTCTTTTTATTGTCACAATTGTAATACGTGAATTTCGGTGACACAAGGATTGACAAAACCGATGACATCACACTTGAAGATCAAATTGAATCTTGAAATACCTATCATCCTTGTCCCTTCTTCACTTAAGTAACCTAGTTCTTCTTCGGGAGAAAACATGTCGGACGTTCTATGCGAGGCTAATTGTAGGAGTGTGTTGGAAATAAATTTGCTAATGATATTCATTCTAACGAATTCACAGATGATCGTCCAATGGCCGAGGCAACCGGCATAGATCCCAAAGCATTGTTGATTGAAGAACCAACTGATGTTGTAAGTGTTTCCGGCTATCAATTATCGTTATCTCACCGCCAATCTGTGTACAAACGTTTTCGTTGATGTGATCACACACTGACCGATGCTTCCATGTAATCCCAAACGTTCACAAGGGACAGCCGAAATCAATCCCAAAATGTGCGTTCAAGGATTGTTCAAATCCGGCCCGCGAGAATAATCCCTATTGTAGCGATGGTTGTTCCTTGCACAATCAGATCTTAGAGATTAAGAAGACGAAAGGACCGGAATCAACGCAATCGAAATCCTCACCTCCCACTACAGTCGAATCCAAAAAAGCTCAACGTCCAGTACTTCCAAAACTTGTCCAATCCAATGTTTCCGGCAAGGTCGCACCGCCGGGAGTTAAACCTGGCACAGTGAATCATAGGCCACCCACGGTTGCCGGCCAGACTCCTGCGGTGAATAGAATGTCATCACCTCAACTGAGAAAGGTGCCCATCCCTCCAAGAAAATCGTCCTCGGGAAGTTCTGGTGACTCTACCACCAAAGTTCGCAACCTTTGTATGGAAAAATTTCACAATCTTTTTACCAAAAAATACACGGAATTACAGCAAAAGGGTGAATTACCTGATTCACAAGAAGGACCCGAGCAACTTGCCCAGCGTTTGGCAAAACGCATCGAAGAATCCATTTACGATAATTTCGCTTCAAAAACAGAACGAGATGGACTGGGTCAGTCGTATAAATCAAAGTTTAGAAATCTCCTGACTAGTCTTGGTCATCCTAAAAATGAGGATTTATTGATGCAAGTTGTTAAAGGTGACATTCCACCGGTGAGGTTGGTGATGATGTCCGCGGAGGATTTAGCTAATCCCGAACAAAAATCCTTGATGGTTAAAGTTCGCAGGGAAAGCATGCAACAGTCGGTATTGAAAGCAGAAGATATAAATGGTCCAAGGATAAAGAAAACGCACAAAGGTGAATTCATAATTGTTGAGGTCGGGCGGGATTCTCCTAAGCATGACACACCAGATAACAATTCGATGGGATCGTCTGCTCACTCTGCATTCAATGCTTCGAGTGTGAGACCAAAAATAAACGTGGAGGATTTGATTCCCAAACGGAGAACAAGTACCACCGATAGCGCCAATTCTACGAATAGCGAAAATCCGTCGAAAGACGATTCGTCTCGTGGTGATGACACGAACGCCTCGATCAATAATTTCTCTCAGGCTATCATTCAAAACGATGACTCGAGGAATCACACGAAAAGTAGTAATAATATTGTACTCGGTAACATGGAGACGACTGGTAGTCCGGTCGCAATGTCTGTAGGATCATCAACAAATTCACCTCCACTTTCCCCACAAGCGAAAACCATAATATCACCCACCATGAGTCCCTCAAACACACCTCCCGAGGAACCGCCCAGTAATCCCGTGAAACTGTTGCCTCCCATCTGGAAGGGTAGATTGTTATACGACGGTGTTGCCCGATTTTCCGGTCAGGCATCCTTGGTCGCCGCAAAAAAGCGCGACAAAGAACGGAATTGGGAGGAAATTCTCGCAGCGTCCATCAGGTGCAATGGTCACGTTTCACGAGTAGAGCAAGCGGATACATACTTAATTGACTGTTGGTGTTCACCCTCCAAAGATGTTGCGTTCATCAAGTTTGAGGCCAATGAGGATGATGATAATGATAAGGAACAGTTTGATTTGATATTTAATTATTTGCGTTATTCTCCAAAAGATAGGGTAGTGCGTTATGGTCGAGTTGCAAACGCCTATAATACCGTTAGAGAAATGTACCTTATACCATTAGAGCCCGAAGATAAAATTCCTGACGTTATTACCTTTCTAGATCATGATGAGATATTTGTGCCAAAAAATAATGAAAAACGTGAATCAAAATTATTATTGGGTGCAATTGTTATCATTGATGTTGTGTCTTCCAAAACGAAACGTCCACGTGATTTAACCCAGAACATTGCGCGACCAATCAAAAAAGAGAAGTTAGAATCTTCTACTGCTATCGCTGCTGCTGCACCTACTGCCACTACCACTACTACTGCTAGTCAACCGAACATCGGAAATAGTCCTTTGGTTAATAAGGCTGTGGTACAAAGTCCAATTGTGGCACCACAAACCATTGCGAACACAATTATGGCACCACCGGTGAATTCACCGCAAAACCAGCCATTGCCTACGAATCTGCCTTCGGTCACAACTGCACCGAACGGAATCCTTCCCGGGCTATTACAATCGCTACTGGCTCAGTCCAGTTCAACGTTGCCTAATCAAAGTGCACCACCCGCCGCCCAATTTCCACAACCACCTCCTCCATTTAGCGGCCCACCACCACCTAATCAAGGTGGACCACCTGCGCCTTTCGGAATCCCACCTCCGCAGCAACAGCAACCGCAGCTAGGTATCCCACCACAACCGGCCCAATTCCCTACACATTATCCGACGGTGACACCTCCATCAAACGGCCCACCCGGCCTTCCTGGTCAACCTCAGTTCATACCGCCACCTCCACCACATAATCTACAAGGACCACCGGCCCAACCGGGTTTACCACAACCACCACCACCACAGGTACAGATGCCCCCAGGATTTCCTCCTCAGTACGAGCAATTTTATCAACATCTCCCGCCTCCAAATTTTCCTCAACAAGGTCCTCCCCAGCAACCACCGGTTGGACCACCACAAGCGCCGCCACAACAACAACCGCAAACTCAACCACCACCACCACCACCACAATCACAACCACAACAGTCGTTACCACCATACGTACCACCCCCAGCAAACGAATATGCACACTTTCAGCCACCACCATCAGATAACAGACGACCTCCCGGGGTACAAGATTTTCGACCAAAGTGGGGACCACCACCAGACAATCGACCACCGTGGGATCAAGGCGCAAATAATAATAATAACCCTAGTAATAATAACACCAATAATGAAAACAGACAACCTCCATGGGAATGGGAGTCAAATAATAATAGTAATAATAACAGATCACCAATGGATCATGTGAATAGAAATCACGAGAACAGGCCTCAATGGGATCAGGATGAACGAAGGAATTGGAATCAAAATGAATCCAGACCACCAAGAGAACGTGAATACCGGAGGGGGCCATCGCCACCACACTCAGATTATCGCGATAGAAGGCATCGAGGTCATTCACATAATCGCGATATTCGTGGTAGACGCGGAAACAACAGTCCCAGGGGTGGACGTAATCTCAACGGCGTCGTAGGACAAAACGGAGACCGTGATTGGAATGACCATGAGCGTAGTGACTGGGGAGATCGTGACAGGGATGATAGGGATGATGGTAGATTTGAACGTAATAATAGGGAGCATCATCACTATGGTGAAACCGGGATAAATGATCGGGGAGGAAAGTCTAGAAGAGGTGGAAGATTTCGAGGAACGAGAGCTTGAATAAACATAATACACATCTAAAGTAGTCATCATCGTCATATGACTTCTTTTTTTTAATTGCTTTTTTTTATATATTTTTATATTTTGAAAGTATTTATAATTAGTAGCGAGTAGGTTGTTTCAGGTTTAAAACAAAATAATTTTGTATATAGTTTATGCTTGCCTAAATTTTTAGGCTGAAAAACAATAAACACAAACTCTTATTTCCTAAAATAGTTTGGTCATCAAAAATTTATTTCAATGATCGGTAAGTGTAACGCACGCGTCTACGAGATTCCAATAATCAGTCCGTGAAACCAGTTTTAGGATGCATTTTTTTTTTTTCCGACACTTTGTGCGTCACGTGATATTACATAATGACAACTTGAATTTACATACGAAGTCAGATCAAAGCCTTACTTTTTTTTTTGTCTTCAAATGTGACTCGGAACGAAACTGAATACATACGACATCGCATTTCTAAACAAGGAATAATAACTTTAATCTTAGCACAATAACTTGATGCACGTGATCTGGATGTTCAAAAATCATAAATATTTTTAAAACTTTATGATATTAAATTAACAGGCAGGATATTGATTGGACTTCCTGAAATCTATTTATTTTCAAAATCCCAATTACTGGTTTTTTTCCACCATCGACCCTTGAAACAAGGGTCGACATTCATCTAAAGCGCGATTCTGTGTAACTATAAAATCTGAGAAGACGATATGCGGGTGATGAAATTGAAATAATACACTGTATGCGGATAATAAAAAATAAAGTTTAAATTTAAAGCATTTTTGAGTTTTTTTTTCATGTTTTTGGGTTTTGTTTGAATTTCGGGTTTGGGTTTTTTTTTTTTATTTATTTCGGGTTTTGTTTTTTTTTCTCTCTTCTTTTTTATTATCACAATTGTAATACGTGAATTTCGGTGACACAAGGATTGACAAAACCCGATGACATCACACTTGAAGATCAAACTGAATCTTGAAATACCAATCATCCTTGTCCCTTCTTCACTTAAGTAACCTAGTTCTTCTTCGGGAGAAATATGTCGGACGTTCTATGCGAAGCTAATTGTAGGAGTGTGTTGGAAATAAATTTGCTAATGATATTCACTCTAACGAATTCACAGATGATCGTCCAATGGTCGAGGCAACCGGCATAGATCCCAAGGCATTGTTGATTGAAGAACCAACTGATGTTGTAAGTGTTTCCGGCTATCAATTATTGTTATCTCACCGTTTATTTGCGTACAAACGTTTTCGTTGATGTGATCTCACACTGACCGATGCTTTCATGTAAATCCCCAAACGTTCACAAGGAACAACCGAAATCAATCGCAAAGTGTGCGTTCAAGGATTGTTCAAATCCAGCCCGTGAGAATAATCTCTATTGTAGCGATGGTTGTTCCTTGCACAATCAGATCTTAGAGATCAAGAAGACGAAAGCACCGGATTCAACGCAATCGAAATCTTCACCTCCCACTACAGTCGAATCCAAAAAAGCTCAACGTCCAGTACTTCCAAAACTTGTCCAATCAAATGTTTCCGGCAAAGTCGTACCACCGGGAGTTAAACCTGGCACAGTGAATCATAGACCACCCACGGTCGTCGGCCAAACTCCTGCGGTGAATAGAATGTCGTCACCTCAACTGAGAAAGGTGCCCGTCCCTCCAAGAAAATCGTCCTCGGGAAGTTCTGGTGATTCTACCACCAAAGTTCGCAACCTTTGTATGGAAAAATTTCACAACCTTTTTACCAAAAAGTACACGGAATTACAGCAAAAGGGTGAATTACCTGATTCACAAGAAGGACCCGAACAACTTGCCCAGCGTTTGGCGAAACGCATCGAAGAATCCATTTACGATAATTTTGCTTCAAAAACAGAACGAGATGGATTGGGTCAGTCGTATAAATCAAAGTTTAGAAATCTCCTGACTAGTCTTGGTCATCCTAAAAATGAAGATTTATTGATGCAAGTTGTTAAAGGTGACATTCCACCGGTGAGATTGGTGATGATGTCCGCGGAGGATTTAGCTAATCCCGAACAAAAATCCTTGATGGTTAAAGTTCGCAGAGAAAGCATGCAACAGTCGGTATTGAAAGCCGAAGATATAAATGGACCAAGGATAAAGAAAACGCACAAGGGTGAATTCATAATTGTTGAGGTCGGGCGGGATTCTCCTAAACATGACACACCGGATACCAATTCCATGGGATCGTCCACTCACTCCACATACAATGCTTCGAGTATGAGACCAAAAATAAACGTGGAGGATTTGATTCCCAAACGGAGAACAAGTACCACCGATAGCGCCAATTCTACGAATAGCGAAAATCCGTCGAAAGACGATTCGTCTCGTGGTGATGACACGAACGCCTCGATCAATAATTTCTCTCAGGCTATCATTCAAAACGATGACTCGAGGAATCACACGAAAAGTAGTAATAATATTGTACTCGGTAACATGGAGACGACTGGTAGTCCGGTCGCAATGTCTGTAGGATCATCAACAAATTCACCTCCACTTTCCCCACAAGCGAAAACCATAATATCACCCACCATGAGTCCCTCAAACACACCTCCCGAGGAACCGCCCAGTAATCCCGTGAAACTGTTGCCTCCCATCTGGAAGGGTAGATTGTTATACGACGGTGTTGCCCGATTTTCCGGTCAGGCATCCTTGGTCGCCGCAAAAAAGCGCGACAAAGAACGGAATTGGGAGGAAATTCTCGCAGCGTCCATCAGGTGCAATGGTCACGTTTCACGAGTAGAGCAAGCGGATACATACTTAATTGACTGTTGGTGTTCACCCTCCAAAGATGTTGCGTTCATCAAGTTTGAGGCCAATGAGGATGATGATAATGATAAGGAACAGTTTGATTTGATATTTAATTATTTGCGTTATTCTCCAAAAGATAGGGTAGTGCGTTATGGTCGAGTTGCAAACGCCTATAATACCGTTAGAGAAATGTACCTTATACCATTAGAGCCCGAAGATAAAATTCCTGACGTTATTACCTTTCTAGATCATGATGAGATATTTGTGCCAAAAAATAATGAAAAACGTGAATCAAAATTATTATTGGGTGCAATTGTTATCATTGATGTTGTGTCTTCCAAAACGAAACGTCCACGTGATTTAACCCAGAACATTGCGCGACCAATCAAAAAAGAGAAGTTAGAATCTTCTACTGCTATCGCTGCTGCTGCACCTACTGCCACTACCACTACTACTGCTAGTCAACCGAACATCGGAAATAGTCCTTTGGTTAATAAGGCTGTGGTACAAAGTCCAATTGTGGCACCACAAACCATTGCGAACACAATTATGGCACCACCGGTGAATTCACCGCAAAACCAGCCATTGCCTACGAATCTGCCTTCGGTCACAACTGCACCGAACGGAATCCTTCCCGGGCTATTACAATCGCTACTGGCTCAGTCCAGTTCAACGTTGCCTAATCAAAGTGCACCACCCGCCGCCCAATTTCCACAACCACCTCCTCCATTTAGCGGCCCACCACCACCTAATCAAGGTGGACCACCTGCGCCTTTCGGAATCCCACCTCCGCAGCAACAGCAACCGCAGCTAGGTATCCCACCACAACCGGCCCAATTCCCTACACATTATCCGACGGTGACACCTCCATCAAACGGCCCACCCGGCCTTCCTGGTCAACCTCAGTTCATACCGCCACCTCCACCACATAATCTACAAGGACCACCGGCCCAACCGGGTTTACCACAACCACCACCACCACAGGTACAGATGCCCCCAGGATTTCCTCCTCAGTACGAGCAATTTTATCAACATCTCCCGCCTCCAAATTTTCCTCAACAAGGTCCTCCCCAGCAACCACCGGTTGGACCACCACAAGCGCCGCCACAACAACAACCGCAAACTCAACCACCACCACCACCACCACAATCACAACCACAACAGTCGTTACCACCATACGTACCACCCCCAGCAAACGAATATGCACACTTTCAGCCACCACCATCAGATAACAGACGACCTCCCGGGGTACAAGATTTTCGACCAAAGTGGGGACCACCACCAGACAATCGACCACCGTGGGATCAAGGCGCAAATAATAATAATAACCCTAGTAATAATAACACCAATAATGAAAACAGACAACCTCCATGGGAATGGGAGTCAAATAATAATAGTAATAATAACAGATCACCAATGGATCATGTGAATAGAAATCACGAGAACAGGCCTCAATGGGATCAGGATGAACGAAGGAATTGGAATCAAAATGAATCCAGACCACCAAGAGAACGTGAATACCGGAGGGGGCCATCGCCACCACACTCAGATTATCGCGATAGAAGGCATCGAGGTCATTCACATAATCGCGATATTCGTGGTAGACGCGGAAACAACAGTCCCAGGGGTGGACGTAATCTCAACGGCGTCGTAGGACAAAACGGAGACCGTGATTGGAATGACCATGAGCGTAGTGACTGGGGAGATCGTGACAGGGATGATAGGGATGATGGTAGATTTGAACGTAATAATAGGGAGCATCATCACTATGGTGAAACCGACAGGATAAATGATCGGGGAGGAAAGTCGAGAAGAGGTGGAAGATTTCGAGGAACGAGAGCTTGAATAAACATAATACGCATCTAAAGTAGTCATCATCATCATATGACCTCTTTTTTAATTGCTTTTTTTTTATATATTTTATATTTTGAAAGTATTTATAATTAGTAGCGAGTAGGTTGTCTCAGGTTTAAAACAAAATAATTTTGTATATAGTTTATGCTTGCCTAAATTTCTAGGCTGAAAAACAATAAACACAAATTCTTATTTCCTAAAATAGTCTGGGCATCAAAAATTATTTTTAAGATCGGTAAGTGTAACGTACACGTCTACGAGATTTCAATAATCAGTCCGTGAAACCAGTTTTGGGATGCATTTGATATTTTTGTGCGTCACGTGGTAGTAAATAATAAATACAATTGTAGAATTTACTTAGGAATCGAATATAAAAACG